ACAATCCATGAATAGAAGACACCTTCTTAGACCTGAGAAATGTCATCTGTGATGAACTGTGATATGATAAACTGACATGCTTAACAGTGAAATGTTGGACACATACCTGCTAAAATTGGGAAAAAGGCAAAAATTCTGCTCTTATTATGTAACATTGACCTGAAGGTCCTAGCCAGTCCTATAAAGCAAGAAAAAAAGACTACAAATTAAAAAAGAATAGTAAAAATGTTTTTATTTACAGACAGAATGATCATGATTGAAATACTCAATATTGTTAAGATCTTAATTTACTCTAAATTAAGTTATAGATTCAGTTCAATCCCTTATAAAATCCCAATATTTCTTTTTATAGAAGTAAATAAGCTGCTTGAATATAGATATGGAAAAACAAAGGAGCTTAGATAAAGAAAAAAATCTTGAAGAACAAAGCTGGAGGACTTAGACTTTCCTAATTTCAAGACACAATGAAGCTAGAGTAATAAACACTATCTGATATCAATGTACAGATAGGCAAATAGATCAGTGGTAAATAATGGAGGGCCTGGAAATAGGCCTGCTCAAAGATGTCCGATTAATTTTTGTTAAAGGTGCTGAAGCAATTCAATGGAGAGAGGAAAAGTTTTCCAACGAATGGTGTTAGAACTCATAAACATATGAGAAAAAATGGACATCAGCCTCTGCTTCACCCTATGCATAAAAATTAATTTGTTTCATAGATCTAAACATAAAAGCTAAAACTATAATGCGTAGGAGAATATTGTTGCAAATTTGGAGTAGGAAATGATTTCTTAGGAATGGAAATACTAATAAAGAAAAAATTCATAAATTGGTCTTCATCCAAATTAAAATTTCTGCTTATTAAAAAATACCACTGAGAAAATGAATAGACAAGCCACTGATCTATATAAATCAACAATAAAAAGCCAGCCTACTTTTTAAATGGGCAAAATGCTTGAAGAGACACTTCCATAAAAAAGATATAAAATGGTCCATAAGCCCATGAATGTGTGCTCAACA